GAGGAGGGTTGCCCTGACCGTCGACCAACCGACTGTGAAACGGCCGGCGACGACGATCTTTTTGGCCGCCATGACCGGGCACTTCACCCAGACAGTGCCCTGGCGGCCAGGTGGGCGGTTGATAACGCCCACCTTTACTCCACTCTCAGGGCAACCCCCCACCTTCGCCACTTGCGCCGCTACCGCCTGGCTGGTGGCCGCATCTCCCAGGCCAGAGATACGCATTTCTGCGCAGAGCTCGGGCGGGGAGACGCGGGCGACGTCTCCTATCGTCGCCCGCAGCTTGGCCGCCAGTTCGTCGGCCTTATGGCCCTTGTTGGCGCCAGCCACCTCCAAGACTCGACCGCCGGTTCGCGCCGTGCGGAACCGGAGGCCCTCGATGCCCAGGGCCGAGAGGTCCACAGACTTCTCGGCCCTGTCCATGACGGCCTCGTAGGTCGTCATGGACCCTCTGGCAGCGTAACGACGACTGCGGCCGATTTCGGGGCACGCAGTCGCCGTGGGGGGGCCCTCTTCCTCTTCTTCTTGGAGGCGGCAGGCGCCGCAGGGGCCGGGGCCGTCGGCTTTGGGGCCTTAGCCTTGCGCGCCACCACACTCCAGCCCTCATCAGGTTGGGAGGTGGGAGGCGCCGGCTGTGGCTTGCGTGCGGCCTCGGCCTCAAGGGCCGCCAGGCTCTTCTTGACTTTCCCCTTCCCCTTTTTCGCTGCCGCGGCGTACGTCGCAGCGGGACCAGGGGTCGGGGCGGGCATCGGCTGTACGGCACGGGCAGGTGCAACGCACTCCGTCTCGAGCCGGGCGTCGGGCGCTCTTGCGGCGCGGGCGGCGTTGCGCACGTCTGCCGCCAGCGGAGGGCGCAGCCTCGGCTCGGGCAGTAGGCGGTCACCGATGCCCGCGATCCGGGAGTCAACCATGAACATGATCTCCTCCCGGGTCATCTGCGGGGGGGCAGCCGCCTGCCGCTTCACCGCCTCCAGCTCCGCCCTCATCACGGCCAGCTCGGCCTGCAGGTGGACGAACTCTTGCGTCTCGGTGCGGGCTCGGAGTGCCCGCACCGCATCGCCGATGGCCTACATCGCCTCGCCGATGGCCGACATCGCCTCGCGGACTCTGGCCACGAGCTGGCACTTCATCTTGGCCGATTTCTTGGCGACGCTGGCAATAACGTCCAGCGCCGCCTCGATCGTGCCAGCGAGGTCCTTGGCGGAGCGCTCACCGGATGCCGCTTCTCCGGGACCCTCGGGCATCGCCGCCTGGGCACGGGTATGCAGCACCCGGCTTCTCTCCGCGGCCCCATGCCGCCAGCTCCGCCTCCGCCTGTAGCT